TGATCATATTCGGATCTCAGAAATACGAAAGTGTGTTCGTCGCTATCAAAGAGCATATACCATTTTTTGACAAAACGATGAATAATGATATTCTGTATATTTCCAACAAGTTTCATTAAATTCAGATTATTCTTGACTGAGTTACAGAGGGAAAATAGTGTGAATAATCGGTCCCCATGTTAACAGATAGGGACTTTTGTATTTTCGTAACTTTGACCCTCCAAAAACTAATCACTTCTGCATTGGGTCATAGTCCGAACATATAACCACTGTCGTCCAAATCCATTTAGCAGTTCTCTAGAAATCTTGCTGACAATCACACAAAAAACCCAGAGATGAAAACATAACCTCCGTCCACTTTCGGTGGCGGAGGTAATAGTTAACCAGTCAATTATTGCTGACGCAATGATACTGATTTACGAATTTAATAAGGGCAATATTGCAAAACTCCCATTGATACACCACAATAAGAACAACCAATTACAAATAACACACGAAAAAGAAATACGTCCTTTAATTTCGATTATAAAGCAAGATGCATTTTAACAGAGATTAAAATACCCTTTATTAACCTCTTCCGTGTTTCTCCCGAGATATCTCGGGCGCCCTCTATATTTCACGAAATATTTGTCGACGTATTTTCAATTACTTGACCGAATTTATTTCTATATTACATTGTATTACAATCGTTGTTTGCTAGATGGCACTCAAAATGCTGTTTGTGCTCTATCGGATTTATTTTAAATTATGTGTCATAAGCATTGGAAAAACATTTTCATTCTTTATTATACTATCATTGAAATGTTATATTTATTGTGTATATTTTGTTCAGAAATATAATAAAAGATGTATTTGTTTCATTAATATATAAGTATAGCCTGTCACAAAGCAAAATAGAAAAACTTGACTTTTTTAGCTCATTTCCAAAAAAATCCTGCCTTGGAAGGGGTTAGGGAATAATTTTCGTTCTGTAATTATGATACAAGAGCCACATCACAAAATAAAATCATTGATAATAAAATGATTTAACTGTGATTAGGCACAAAGCTACACAATAACTTTCTATATTTTCTGACAAATGGTATTGAAACATGATTTTAACATTGCAAGCGCCCCCAGTGATTCAGCGGTATGTCTGCGGACTTGCAACGTTAGAATCCGGATTTCGATACCCGTGGTGGGCAGAGCATAGGTAGCCCATTGTGTAGCTTTGTGCTTAATTTCAAACAATTACATTGCAAGTCTGCAGACTTACCACTAGGAGCAATACAAAAATTGACTCTTATAATACAGGAATTCGCATATCAATACATTTCTACTAAAATTAAATCACAGGTCAAACTGTGTTTTCTTTTTTATCTTGTTATTCATATTCTTTTATTAGAATTCGTTTCCTGCTAAAAGTTACAATGGTAATCTATTTTAATCTCCTTTCTAAACAAGATTAGAAAATGAATAAAAAATAATTTTATAGCTACTGGCTTGGACGTTGCCAGATGATTAAAACACTACTCTCAAACTACGGGTCGCGAGACCGAATTCCGTCACCGTACTTGCTTAACCACTCAATCGTGGGGTGTTATAGTTGATGGTTAATCCTACTATTCATTGGTAAGGAGTAATCCAAGTGTTGGTGGTTTGTATTGACTACCTGCCTTCTTTCTAATCTATAACACTAAATTAGGAACGGCTAGTGTAGATAGCTTTGCATGAAATTTAACAAACAAACTGCAGCTACTACACTTGTTTTCTCTGTTCAAAGCATATATAAAGGCAAAATTAAACATTTTAAATTAAATACAGAAGTACAATACTAATCAATTACACTCTAAAAATCAAACAGAAAAGAAACTGAACATGTCTCACAAATAATAATTTTACATTGTCACGTAAATGAATAAATAAAAAGAAACATCACTTGATAAAAGCTTAAATATGAAATTAAACCACGTAAACATAAACTTGAATAGCCAACACTAAGGTTTTCCAATTAGCTCAGTAGTAAGGTTGAAGCTTTAAACGCTAAACATTGTGTTTTGTTACCAATGGTGGACAGAGCACAGATTGTCCATTGTATAGCTTTGTGTTTAACAACAAACAAAAATTAAAAATAAATAAAATAGCAAATTCTCAATGGTAGCCATGGATCTTTTCTTAGTGGAATTGGTTTTCCATATGATTTACTTTGCTCTTTCCAGAACCTTATGGATCTGAATTAAATCTGCCCTAGCTGTTTGCCTTCTTTACCTAACCTCGACACTGGCTCCAGTCATCTCCGTAACTAGCATTTCTCGTGATGATAGAGGGTCTAGGTTTATCTAGGTAGATCTGGTGAGGTATTCTCGGGAAATGTCAGACAAACTTTTTCTTGGAACGTCACTTGAAAAGCAAGGACTGCAGTGACCGTTTTAGCTCAGTTTCGAATTCATTCCTATCATCTTTACCGTGCAAACTGTTCATATTCTAGACATTAAATCTCCCAGCACAAGATGCCCTAAAGTGTAAAGCTGTTAAGTAGTGATCACACAATATTGTGCAGTCATTACACTATGAAATACCACTAAATAGCTTGGAAATAAAGGATCGGCAATTTCTTTCAGTCATTGATGTTTCAACCAAATAATTATCCAAACTGTTGATAATTGAATGGCAGGCCACCATCAGTGGCTTTGTCGACTGTTAGAGGTATCTCCGAACTCTAGCTCTTGTGCTTTCTCATCTGGGTTATCATGAACAACCTTCTTCTGATTCCTCATCAAGCCAGTACACAAGAGGTTTGTTGGTAGCATATAAAGACAGTCTCTCGATTTCTGTAACTCATACTTCAATGAAATAGTCTATCAGATCAGGTCCTATCTTTATTGAACTGAACTGCTAGCACCTACCAAAGCCACCCCACTCTTCATGTTAGGACATTTGTTTTTAACCTGTTTTATCATAGCTGTTGATGAGTAAACACTTCTGTGTCAACTAATGCAGATATTGCCTACTCCACATATTTCAGTGGACATCATGGAATGTCAGCTCTAGAGGGAGGATCATACGTCATATCTACAGGGAGCAGGACTTCCTTGCAGAACAAAATCATGTTTGGTGAACAACCTGTTGATCTTTCTAAAATTGTGTAAGTGCTTATTCCTCCTCTAGGCTGGTTCAGTTTTGTACAGCTTTTACCTGTAAACTCTCATCACATCATTGAAATTGTCTTTTTCTCTTTCAATTACAAATAACTAAATGTATAAGTATTGAATTTGGCATCTTAATAAATTAATATAAGTAATGTCTAATATTCTTATTTCACTAGTTTGTAACTTTATTACCAAGTCTTGAAGTTTGTTCATTTATAATTTAGCACAAAGCTACACAATGGACTGTCTGTACTCTGCCAACCACGGGTATCGAAACCCAGCTTTTAGCATTGTAAGTCGGCACGTAAACTGCTGAGTCACTGGAGAGAGGCAAGTCTTAAAGTGAAACTCAGTTAAAATGATGCTATTGTCATAGCTATTAACGAGGGTAACATCATTACTAACATGTTACCTTCGTTAAGGATGACATGTATTGTACTTTAACTTGGATGACTTTTCAGATTTAAGCATCATATTTCTTTTATTTTAAGTTTTAAGTTCATTTATCACACAAATTGTACTGAAATTATAGCTGAACTATAGCAAGTACCTGATGAATTGTCAATGGGTAATTTCCCTAAAAATTATGATGAATTCATAAAAAATGTGCAGTCAACCCAATGTTTTGTATCATGGTGTATTTGCAATATGATTATATAGTGCATCGTATTTTGTTATTTCGTGTTTTATTTCAAGAAATAAAGTTGCATTGCTTTTGCTTTTAAGCAAAGGGGACCGACTACAATGCATTGTTTGCAAATATGATTTGGTTTCGATGCAATAGCCCAACAAACAATTTAACGTTACAAGAACGTTATCTGTAACCAACATTCACGTTTCCCGTAAAGTACAATAATGTAACCATGGAAAGTTTTTTGGGGTGGTTAGCATTAAGTTATTTGCTAACGTTACTATGCAACACTGAATTAACAAAAAAATAACAAATAAATTTACATAAAAACTGACACCGAGTATTTATGCTAATTTCATTATTTATTTTCCATACAGTACAATCAACAATTAATATCTTCATCATTTTCCTGGTCTTTATATTCCCTGGTGTTCTCTCTAGTTATTCTCTTCCAAACTTTGACCAGACACGCCTGAAAAAAAAACAACAAAAAAAACCACAATATCTATAATTACCCCAAATACAAATTATTAATATATTATCATTTATGTTAGTAAATTATACCACTTTGTCGTTATAAGTTATGTGACTAGATATTTAGCATCCATCATTTTTTGCAAATTGAACAAGAATAGCAAGTTATATACATTAAGCACAATAGAGAACTCAGATTCGCCAAGTAGCTGCAGGGTTTTTTTTTTCTGCTGGATGTCACCATTTCTAGTCGTTAACTGAGCGCAAGAAAATCCCGCTACCAAAGTAAGCGCTTCTTGACAGTTGTCATTTCTATAAGAATTTTAAAACATTAAGTGTCAAAGGGAGAGATATTCAAATCCATTTATTCTACATAATAGGCGTATACAAGTGGGTCCGGCCCCCCTGAAAAATCTAGGTATATTGATCATATATTATTTTCCAATTTTTATATATAATAAATTCGTTTTGTCTCTTTTGAAAAAAATACATAACTTCTATAGACTATACATATTTTTTATTTGATTTGTTTTAATGACCATTTTATTAAAAATTTAGATAAATTTCAGCTTTTTAATTTATTTGCCCATTTAAAATTTATTTAAAAAAGTGAATATTTTTCTTCTAATATACTATTGAAAACAAGCATTTTGATATATATTTATATTTTATTTTATACGATTAACTATCCATGAGAAACAGTGCGTGAAAGACAGATATAGGATGTGATATATGTAGATAATTGTCTCTTTTCTTAGCTACTTTGAATGTATTAAAATAAACCGTGTTGAATTCGTAAAAGTTTTAATTAATATATATATATATATATACATAAAACTCGTGCATATCGTTAAAGCTCCATTGAAACTTCGATTAACGAAAGATGTCACAAAATAAGTAATGGCAGTGCCTAATGAAATAGGATTAGGAAGTTTTGACTATTTGAGATACTGTTTGTTTGGAAAGCTTGGTGTAAGAAACCTATAAAAAGAAAACGCTCTTATTCACTTGTTTATTGGTGATAGGATTAATTACAAGCTTCAGGTAAAATAATAGAGTGACACATTGACGATAACATGGAAGTTTTGAAAACCACGAATGTGAAAACCGAACCTATTTCTGATGAGGAGAATGGTTTGTTGGAAGTCAAGATTTTGAAAAACGAAGCTAGGAAAACGTCACTTAGTTGTAAGTTCAAATGTATAGAATTTAAATCCTTTATCATAAGTCTATATTATAAAACTTTGTAACATAGCTCAAATGTGTGCAAAATATTTCCTGTATTGTATTGGTTGACAATTTAGCCATATTATCATCTTTTGTATTACTTTTACTAATAGTAATACTATGAACCTATGACACAGAACAAATGATTAATAGTTATATTATAATGCTAACACAGAACTGTTATAATTTTATGTTTCTTCTATAGTTTTTGATTTATTGCTTTACAGTATAATGTTGCATTAGGCATTTTGTAACATCTGTCATTTGTCTGTCATGAGAGAATTAATTGTATCTGTTGAACAACCATAATTTATTTCATTAAGTGAAGGTTTAAACACCAAGATACATGATTAAATAGCTGATAGAATATATTGAATTAACCAACACAGTGCAGTAAGAAATGAAATAATTAAAAAAGAATTATTTTGAGTTTGTATATGATTTCTATAGCTAGATATAATTCTTGTTTGTTCTTTAATTTTGACAACTGTATGTATGAACCACATCATTCAGTATCCCACCAAGTAATATAACACATTATATGATAAAATTTAGTTTAGAGGATGGAACAGCTGAGATGGACCAATAGGTCCCATGTTGTCCCAAAACATTATATATATATTATATATATACAAAACAAGAAATATATACTGAAAATGAACTAACAATAGCGTTAAAATTTGTCAAAATTGCTTTCTTTTCTGTTTACTATATTTTTACTATGTTCAGATGATTATTGTGTGTTTCCTTTTTTTTTTTGTTAAAGGTATATGATGAAAAATATTGTTTATTAATTTATACTTATTGACATTGCTAGCTTATATATATACACACACACAATACATATTTATTGGTTATAAATCAATAGTAGAAATTATATCTCATTGTTCTAGTCCTTCTTCCTTCTCTGATCCTTCTCCAATAAGTTAACATCTTTTCTTAGATAAGAAAACCAAAGGTGTACACAGTATTCCAAGTGAGTCATAGCTAGCAATTTGTATAAAGTTAGTCTCCATTATACTACAAATCAGGAGTATTTATCTTATGAAGTTCTCATTCTATTAAATTAAATACGATGGTTCAATATTAAAGTTATGGACACATAGTATAACTTATTATTCTTCAAGCAACAAGAATTAACTTATGTCTTGAAATTATTTTCCTGTACAAATTTGTCTCACACCACCAAAAATAATAGAATTGAAATTTAAAAAAAATTTAAAATCAAGTTCCAAACTTAAAGAGTATTCCACATCAAGAAAAAAATTGCAATTAAACAGCAATAAACTTTCTGAAATTCCACCTATAGCTCTGTACAGTCAGAGAGATAATTAAGAGTAATTTTTAGAATAAGATCACATCTTGCACATTTTGCTCAAGACAAAATAAATAAAGATACCTTAAGCTATCTCCACAAAATAACCTTTCATTTTAGGAAATTCTTAAGTTAATGAGTCTAATATTACTTACATGTATGCTATTCCTAATGTGATACAGGGTTTCAATATTTCATTGAGCCTCTCTTATTTGAATAGAATAAAAACTACACCAGCTAAACATTTGTGGCATCTGAGAGAATAATGTTTGAAGTTTCTTTCCCACAATTAAAGATAGGGTGTATGTGAAGAACACTGTATTTAAGATGGAGGTACCAAATATAGGATTGGTGAGTATGCAAATAACCAATGCAAATGTGATGATTAACATCAGGACATCCTTTGAGCTACAAATGTCAAATCATACACTGGAGTAAGCTATACATCAAAGACTACACTTGAGGTAAGAACATACTAAGATTGTTCTTGATAATTTTTCAATATGTTTTATTGTATGTCTGTTTTATGGTTAAGGATAGACTGAAGGAATTTAAAGAAAATTAGTTATTTCATTGTGTGTTTTACAGTGTAGTGATACATAGAAGTCATGTTTATATTTGTGGTTATAAAAATATATATTTTATACCTCTAGTGACAAGAAAGGCTGCTTCCCCCAAAAAAAGATCTTCATTTACAGTTTTTGATTTTAAAATAAAAAAAGAAAAGTATGATGAAGAACTAAAGGAAACTGAGGTAATTTGTATATTAAAAACTTATAATTCTCTCAATAGGGATAAATACAGTGATATTTGTTTGAGAGAACATTTTTGGAACTTTATAACAAGGATGAATACTATTTCAAAAACTGTGAATTTATTGTGTATTTCTGAAGATTTCTGGCATTTTAATGTTTGTGATAACTGGACAACACTTTTAATTTTTATTTATTACATATTATTGATTTGTAAGAACACCACTTGTTACTTTATAATCCACTAAATCTATTTCTGAATATTATTGCATGTTGAGACTAATTATATTCTTTGCTTTTGGAATTTAAGCCTTAGTAATAATCCTATAAATTATGTCTAGTTAACATTCATATGTCACTTGTCTGACCTCACACTGTAACAGTTGTCTTAATTTTTGTTTTATCTTTTATTGATTTTTAAGTACACTGTTAAAAATAATTCTTCCCATCCCACCTTCTACCACTTATTACTTTATAATCCAATTAGACTCAAATTATGCTCTTTGTTCAGTGAGTCTCTAGCCTTGATCACAAACATTCTCCCATTATTATGTCCAGTTAACATTCATATGTCACTTCTCTGACCTCACACTGTCACAGTTGTCTTAACTTCTTTGAGAAGTTTATTTCCTTGTTTGTCAGCTCTATTTTTGTGATGTTATAATGTTTATTGATCCTACCTGAGAAAAAGATGGGAAATTTCATTTGATTTTTGGATCCTGAAGTCTGTGTTGTTAGCTGTCCCATCACACATGTTGTTGCAAAATAAGGAAATGTTGGACTGATTTCTTTTATTTGGTTTAAGATGTTTTTAATTTGTGCTGCTAAATAACATATCCTGGAATTAATATAGACCTATAAAGTGTAACACAATAACCAAAGAATGTTTAGGTACATGAAACGACTGACTGTTGTTCACCTTTAGCAAGTATGTGTTCACTATGTTGTTAATGACCAATCTTGACAGATAAGAACCTAGAAATTTGTTTTATTTTTGGTATCAAGTGTGTATTTTAAGAGACTAGTAGTTACAATTATTAATAGATAAATTATTATTCTTATACAACTGTAGCACTATTAATTATGAAAAGGAAATTATCTTAATTGACAGTACTACTGGGTAGTTAGTGGGATTAAATAATAAGTTAATTGCCAGGATCATTAATTGGTTACTATTATGAAACATGGATAATGGGAATATTAAAAAAATAGTAATTATTGGAATAATTAATTCTGATTGGTTGTTTATTTTTGTGAGTCATTACACTAGTTGATTAAGCTGATCAACATTTAATTAATCACTAATAATAACGAGAAATCATAATAGCAATATTTTGATTATTTGAATAATTGGAATAATCAAAAACACTATTTTTGATTAGTTGATTATTTTGGTGAAACTAATCAATTTAGTTGATTCTCATAGGTGATTCACTATATCAATAAATTAATTGCTCAGCTATAATTGGCAGGGAATAAAATTGAAGAATTTTGTCTCCATAGAACTTGAACCTATAAAAAAGTGGCTGGTGCTATACTTAGAGTTGGTGATTAGTGGTATTTACCAATCAATTTATTGATAGGCTCATTAACCCTCTTGCTGTTGGTAAGTTAAAGTGTGCATCTCACAACCTTTTACAGAGTTAGATTCAAAATTTAAGTAAATTACTATTTATACCCTAATAGCATTCTTACAAACTAAATCCAACTGTAAATGCATTATTTGGGGGGACGTTGGTAGACATAGTAATAATATGGTTTGAGCTACAGTGACAGAATGGATTTACAATATTTTGTTGTCATAAAAGTAAAAGCTAATTTAAAACTTCCTTTAATAAAAATGGGTGAAACCCTAACATTTTTGTACACAGAATGTTTGTTTTTTCAGTAGTCGTTACAAACGAGACATTGGAAGTGATACAAATTTTTGTCATTTCTTCTGTTTGAGAAGATATTTCTATTATGTATAGAAATAAACTTGTCATCAAACATATTTAATAAATTAAACTTTAATATTATATTAGTTTTAATTTCTTAATTTCACAAGGAAATGGTTAAATAAATCTTCAGTCTCCCCTTGTATGTGAATCATGACATTTGTTCTCTCTGTCTTGTCTGTTCACTAATTTATTTAACACTCCTTTATGAAGTATGGAGTATAACTTAAATTATTTATTACAATATAGATATTACTAAGGCAAAGCCTAATTTTTATAGCTTTTAATCTTTCGTTACAGAGACATAAGCTAGAGTCAGACTCACGTGCCATGCCAACCTATTGCATCCTCTCTTTTTACAAATTATCAATTACTTTCTCAGATGGTTTAAATTATATCATTTATAACCAATAGAGAGACCAAGTTTAAATCTATCAGTGACATAATCCTTTTTTGCAGTAAAGAGTATTGTCTATTTTGCCTTCAGTTTGAAATTTCTCTTGCAGTGTTCAGATCAGAAAACTTGGGAAAATATTTTAAGACTTTTATGTCATAATTAGAAATACAGTTATATTTTAATAGTTATAGGACACTGTTTTTTTTTTTTTGCTTAGGTGCCTCTACCATATTTGTTTTTCATATATATTTTTTATTTATTGTTATAAAAGTAACTAATATGTAAGAATTATAAACATACCAGAGATAAGGTTTAATTAGGTAAGATAATGGAAAAAACAAATTCCACAATGTGTGCTCACCTTGTTATGTGACCCAAGCTGTGCTGTTTAGCCTTAAGCAGCCATGACCACAGGATATATTATTGCACATTTTATAAATAAAAACACTCCAGCTACTGACATAACTTATGTTTGTTATGTAAATTAGATTTCTAAAGAAGTTTACTAAGTTTACCTTAGTTTACTAAGGAAACTTGCCAGATATGATTCCAAAACAAAAATATACCAGTTATACTTTATTGAGTTTTACATGTAGTATTTGAGTTTTGTTAACAACATTAGTTGTTATTGATCTTTTTGTTTGTTCTAGAACACACTTGTCAAAGTAAAAACTGAACAAAGTGGTGATTCAACAAAGGATGGCATTATTTCCAAGTTCAGTGAGAGTGATGATGAAACTGTTGATTATTCACAACATGATGTTATGAGTGTGAAAAGTGAACCAAAAGAGGAGTTTCGACAAATTAACTCTGAGTTAGAAGGTTTATCAGGTGAGTGTACACTTCAAGAACTTTATTCATGTGGTAGACGTACTAGTGAAAAGTGTGTTAAATAATGATAATAATTTATAGTTTTATAGAAAAAATAAAATAAAATAATAAGCTTGTACAGTTAGTTGAATTGTCTAAGAAAATCATGTTCTAACTAGTTTAACCCTTTGTATGGAAACTCTGATGGACACTTTGGGTTTGCAAGGTTACTCTAATCCACCAAACCCATAGAGAGGGGGTTAAAGTATTTATGTTATCACATTCACAAAAGCTCATTCATTTTATATAAACAAATAGTAGTTAGGTATTTACCAGCAGTTTGTAGAATACCAGACTACAGTGTATGGTTTGTTGTCTCTATAATCTCTAACTGAGTTCATTGGCAAGAAAAAAGGTTAATGAAGGAATGTACACTATAATAATCTTTAATCATACAAACAAGTTACTAACACAGTACAACAAAACAAGGACAAGTGTGTCTGTTATGAGTGTGTTGGACTAGCAAGAGAGAGAGAGTGTGTTTGTGAAACATAGTGAGTTATCTCTCACTAGTCCAGTGTATACCCTCTCTGTAAGGTAATCTACAACACCATAATGTTTAGGTTAAACCTAAAATTAAAATACAAAGGTGCCACAAGTAAAATATAAATACTAAAACTCTAAAACAAAGTTAAAGTTATAAAAAGGTAAATAGCTCTAAAGAAATGTGAAATTAAAAATGTTACCAATATCTCAGTTAAACTACATTATATATCCAATGTCAAAAGTAAAAGTACATGTTTTTAAAGTTTAGCAAAATTTGTGTAGCAAGGGAGAATTTGGCATATAACACTAGAAAATACAATAAAAACTTAATCCAGGTTTACACATGGAGTATTCCTCTGTGTTTGAACTATGTCTGTTCATACTCAAATGGTGTCTGGTTAAGTATTCAGCCATTATCTGATATGCAGACTGAAATGACAGCTTTCTATTTAGGGAGTCACAAGCTATCTTTACTATAAGAAAATAGTCTTAGTAACCAATTAGTAAATGGTATTTTGGACAGAGCTAGCAGGAAGCAAAGTTTATATATGTTCACTCAAGCAACTTTCTACATGCAAACATAGCTAAAACAAAGACATGAAATTTCAAAACACTTACATATTGAGTAACAGAGTAGAAAACACATGATAATGTCCTGTGAATTGCAGGAATATTTTTTCTCCCTTGTAAATTTAATATTTCATGGTTTCTTCTCACACTGTATGTGTTCTAAAATTGGTTACTCAACCAACAAGTTTCTCTTCATGATTATTAAGAATTTACATTTCATCTTCTCTGTACTCATTCTGCATGTGTTCTGCTGTCTCTGTTCTACTAACCAATCATTTTCATGTTTCCACTACTGTAAGAATCCTAGAGAGAAGACGTATGTTAGTATTATAGCCATTGTTTATTTAAGAATACGTATCATCCAGGTTATTTTCTGATATGCAAAAGACATTTTTTCACAAGAAAATCTTCAATCAATGGTTATGACAAAATAACTACACCATTCATTTTGGATGTTTTAGTTTCAGATGTATGTATACCTTTTCAAATTTGAGTTGGATAATTTTTTTAATTAACTGTAAATTAAAGTATAATTAAAATTATTAGTTACTAAATCTATATATATATGTGTGTATTGTTATTAATTCCTATGTTTCTTTAAATGCATCTTTTGATTCTAGATCCAAAGACCTACTTGAACAATTATTGTGGAAAGCAATATCCTGGCTGTGATATTATAACACAAAATTCTCTATTTTCAAAGTCAGAAAATTCCAAATCCCTGAATCCAAGTGGTTTTAATACATTTGATAAAACAATATCCAGTGTAAATTACCAAAAAAGATGTAATGTTTCCCATAAGGTAGCTGAATCATACAGTAGCATTGAGTTTGACAAAGAATTGGAAAAAAATCATGTGAAAATACACATTGGAAAGAAACAGCACAGTTGTGGAGTGTGTGGAAAACAACTTGTAACACAGGGTAACTTAAACATACATTTGAGGATACACACTGGAGAGAAACCTTACAGTTGTGTAGTGTGTAATAAAAGATTTCGAAGTAATAGTCAGTTAAAACAACATGAGAGAGTACATACTGAGGAGAAACCATACACTTGTGTAGTTTGTGATAAAAAATTTAGATGTAAGAGTGCACTTAACGAACATGAGAAGGTGCACACTGGAGAGAAACCTTACAGTTGTGTAATGTGTAGCAAAAGATTTCGAAGTAGTAGTCAGTTTAAAAGACATGAGAGGACACACACTGATGAGAAACCATATGGTTGTGTTGTGTGTGGAAAGAAATTTTTAACAAATACCTACCTACAAGAACATGAAAGGATACACACTGGAGAGAAACCATACACTTGTGTTGTATGTAACAAAACATTTCGAAACAATAGTCAGTTAAAACAACACGAGAGAATACATACTGGTGAGAAACCGTACACTTGTGCAGTTTGTAATAAAAAATTTAGGAGTAAAAGTCAACTTAACACACATGAGAAGGTGCACACTGGAGAGAAACCTTACAGTTGTTTGGAGTGTGGAAAAAAATTTGTATCAAGTACTTGTTTACAAGATCATGTAAGGATACACACTGGAGAGAAACCATACACTTGTTTAGTATGTAATAAAGGATTTCGAAGCAGTAGTCAGATAAAAAACCATGAGAGTGTACATACTGGTGAGAAACCTTACAGTTGTGTAGTTTGCTATAAAAAATTCAGAAGTAAAAGTCAACTTAATGGACATGAGAAGGTGCACACTAAAGAGAAACCTTACAATTGTTTAGTGTGCGGTAAAGAATTTGGGAGTAATAATGAACTTAAAGTACATGAGAGGATACACACTGGAGAGAAACCATATAGTTGTGTAGAGTGTGGAAAAGAATATGGGAGAAGAAGTCAACTTAAAACTCATCAGAGGGTGCATACTGGAGAGAAGCCATATAGTTGTATAGAGTGTGGTAAAAAATTTGGAAGAAATAGTTATCTTAAAATTCACCAAAGGATACACACTGGGGAGAAACCATACAGTTGTGTAGAATGTGGCAAGAAGTTTGGAGGTAATGATAAACTTAAAGCACATAAAAGGATACATACTGGAGAGAAACCATACAGCTGTTTAGTGTGTCATAAAGAATTTACAAGAAATAATGATGTTAAGATACATCAGAGGACACATACTGGTGAGAAACCATACAGTTGTGTAGCATGTGGCAAAGAATATACAAGTAGTAGCCAACTTAAAATACATAAGAGGACACATACTGGGGAAAAACCATACAGTTGTATAGTGTGTGGCAAACAGTTTCGAAGCAGTTGTCATCTAAAAACTCACCAAGCAATACACACTGGGAAAAGACCACACAGTTGTGTAGTATGTGGTAAAGAATTCAGAAGAAACTGTGATCTTAGAACTCATCAAAGGATACACACAGGAGAGAAACCATACAGTTGTTTAATGTGTGGTAAAGAATTTGTAAGTAACAATAAACTTAAAACACACCAGAGGGTACATAGTGGAGAAAAACCATACAGTTGTGTAGAGTGTGGTAAAAAATTTGGAAGAAGTAGTAATCTTAAAGCTCACCAAAAGATACACACTGGAGAGAAACCATTCAGTTGTGTAGAGTGTGGAAAAAAGTTTGTAAGTAATGGTAAACTTAAAACACATCAGAGGGTACATAGTGGGGAGAAACTGTAGATTTATGTACAGGATGTCCAAAAAGTCTGAAACCACAGGCACTTCAACAAATTGTACAGAATGTGTTGTACATGCTGTACTCTTAATTCAAAAGAAGTTTGGATTAACAGCAGGATTAATTTGAACTACTCATGCTTTGCTAGTACCATAATCGGTCACATATGTGAAATTAAGAAATGTTACAAATTGCTTTTGATTCCAGACTTTTCGGACACCATGTAGTATGTGGTAAAAAATTTTGAAAAAATAATGATTTAAGAAATCATGATAACACACAAACTGGGAAGAAACCACCTGGTTGTTTGATGTGGTGAGAATGTGTATGTAGTTATTGCCTTAAAATATATAAAAATGTACACAGGTGGCAAAAACTGTAAATGTCTGAAATGAAGAAGTGACTACCTGTTTTGTAAAGCACTGTTGTGGGAAATGATAAGAGTAATAAACATAAAATTCAAATAATGTTTATAAATTTGTGTGCAATTATATTTTTTTATATAAGGTTTTTTACATGTGGCAGAAGTTTTGAAAGAAAGAGCCATTTAAAAAACAATAAAATACACCATGGGCTTACATACTGTTATGAAGCCTTTGGTGAAATACATCAAAGGCTACACTTGGGGAAAAATTGTACAATTACACACTGGAGACAAATCATAATGTTGTGTTGTGTAACAGAAATCATTGACATTAAAACAACGGATATGGATAAATTATAAATCATACATTTATGATGACTGTGGTAAGAATTTAATCTGTTAATACCTTCCACATGAGCTAGACCAGCATCTTGAAGTAGATTTTAAAAATAAGTCATTTCAGAAATGTTTGGTTGTTTTTTTTTTATTAGACAAAAAGAAGTTGTTTGGCACTATTTTTCAAGATCCAGGTTGCCGGAAATAATACAAAGTGCTTGTAATGTGTATATTTGTATGATTGTAGAAACTTTAGTTTCAAAGAAATATGTAAAGGTTGTTATGCTGTAAAAAAATCGTGTCTTTTCTAGAATATACAGTAGCATAGATGGTGGAAACTATGGTAACCAACAGCATGAATGTTTGATTTACATAGTCGAGACACCATACAACTGTGGTGTCTGTAATGGGGATTTACAATGTATAGCATAAAATTATCTTCAGGTGAGATAATATTACTTTTTTGTCGTATGTTGTAAAGAGTTGGAAGAAAAAGTTAACAAAAAATAAGGGTAAATATTACTTCTGAGAAGTTAGTACACATTCTGCTTTATCCTCCATTGACCTACATATAAGAAAAAGGCAAAAAGTTTGATCAAATCAGGATATGGTCAGAGAAAAGGGTGAAGACTCTTGTGTCACTTCTCTATTATAGGTTTGCCATGAGGTACACTCATGTAAGTATGAGATTTGGGCCACCCCCAATGAGAAAATGTTTCGAAAAAGCCGAGGATCAGCTTCATATGGTTCAGATAAAGATATTCATTTGGCAAAGAAGTTTTTAGAACGATCAAATTAGCCAAGAAGTATAAAAGCACTGGAGGGTCATTTCATTCTCTGCCTGAAACTGTTTTTGAAACTTTTACTTCATGTTTAGATGGCTGAATAAAGATGCAGGAGCTTCCAACAAGTGTCACAGTCATTATCCTGAAGCATCACTGCCAGTTCTAGATAATGCATTAAATGACTGTTGCCTGGCTGTTCATCCTCTCACCCAGGCTATCCTTTACTGTGCTTGTCACAAGGTTTCAGTGACTTACATTCAAATTTTAATTAAATTACTTTTTGTTTATGTCATACCGATTAGTATAGCATAAAATCGTAGCTAATAATCCATATTTTAATAGTATATATGTTTTAAGTTCTTAATACTATAAAGCAATATTAAAATAAATCCTGAACTTCCCCTAGTGTGGAAAATGTGACATATTTTCTCTAGGCATCCCCACTTTTCTATTTTATTATCCCCCCCTCCCAATAAGTACGAAATTTAACGTAAATTACTCACTATAAAATTGTCATTGCACAGACGAACCATAATTTTTACAGCCTTCAATTTTGTTTGGTTACAGAGCCATCAAATAAGAAAATCAGACCTCTCTTGTCACATCCTCAGTTTCAGGATTTGTTAGTAGTTTTCTCTTACGTTTAATTTTATATTATGTATAATTAATAGAAAGCCAAGGTTTTCATTTATCAAATGGCGTATCATATTACGTTCTTTTCTAAATGGAGAATTCTCAATTCCACTGTTAGTACAAGCTTCATTCTCACGGGAAAGGTAATGACTAGCTTGGATGAATTTGTAACGGCTCTTGTCACATAGTTAGAAAGCCAGAAACATTGTGATAGTTAGGGGAAATTGTCTGTTTTTAGCATGTCATTATTCTATGTTCTTTAGTACATTACTTAATTAAATACAAATTATTTAGTGAATTACTACCATTAGTATTTAAAAAGTAGGGTTAAGTGTCATCGACAGAAGAAAAAATGAATACCCAGGTAAGTAACTAAAATGTAAGAATAGGAATCACTTTAGGTTAGTTAAGGTTAAATTATGTAAAATATATAATAAAAATGTTTCACTAGGCACACACACGAGCTACAGCAGCTCGTGACTAATGTAATTCGATGGCGTGACGTGAGCTCCACGTTCACCAAGTGATTTACAACATACAATGGGGCCATTAGTAGTTAGACCTGGTTCAAAGGGTAATAAAACAAAATTTAAGTATAAACAGATGTATACTGTTACGAGTTTAAAGTTACTTAGGATAAACCAATGTAGTTTCATGTTACAAACTGAAGTCATTCCAGAAAAAAAAAGGTAATTTAGATTTATTTCGATATCTTTTTTTGGTGGTTACGAGGTTGGTCAAATTGACCAACCTTGTATAGAGTTACGGTAAAGAAAATAACAGATAAAATATAATATTTTACTGAAAACAAACATTTGAAATGTATTTATAATTTAGGAAGCTCTGGAGACTATGCCAAAAAAATTGAGATTTTTGAAATGAAGAAAAGTTTTTTAATTTTAACATGAAAATCACTTTGCACATAGACTAGTCAAAACAAGTACTCGGTATATTAATAGAAATCTTTTTTTAGTATATTAAAAATACTTCACGAAAAATATGATTTTTGCTTGTAATGTTCACTGAACGTCTGGCAAAGTTTTCGTAGATATACAGACTATATTAAACGTTAATAGTATCAAAACTATTGTTACGACAGCGGAAGTCGCGTGACTCTGGTAACACGTGATGAGTATCTAGAAGATTCACGAGGAGACGAGATGTACGTTTTTAGAATATATAAGACCAGCAAGAAGTGACGGCAACAATTGAATTGCAGACAGATATAGAGATGGACAATTGAGTCAAGCGCGGTAGTAGGTAAAGTGCGTGAATCGTTCGTTGTGAATTATAGCGTTTGTTTAAGCTAAAGTGACTGGAAATTAAGTGTATTGCATAGATGTATTGAGAAAGATTAAACTAGTTTTATTTAAGAAAGGACTTGTATCGCTAAAGTTTCATCCAAAAGAATTTCGACAGAAAATTAACAAACGAACACAGAGACATAACACTATAGACTTTAAACCAGTACAGGGAGGTCACATGGTCAGTGAAATCTACCAAGGCGTGTTGAGAGAGCTTAAGGACGTATTTACATGAAGCATTTTATAACAAAATTATGAACAAACATATTATTAATGTCTTTGTAGGATCCAAGTTTACATAGGAGTTTTCGTTTCGACATATGTTGACAACAATAATAAGCACAATATATACAATACTGTCCATACAGAGACTAATATGGTTCTTGCAATACTTTTTGGTTGTAAATCCACGTTCGACAGTTCTTGATGAATTTTCTTATGTAGAAATAACCCTAATGGATCAAAATATTGTCCTTTTTCATTTCAACCAAAATAAATACAGGCCCAGTGGCTACCAGGTTTATGACTTTGTTGTACATTGATGATGTACAATTGTTTTTATGCATAGTCAGGTAATTGATCACTGGCAAATACACTTTCAGACTTTTTTTGCATACATAAATCTTGCGAAAGTATCAAATAAATTTCTATTGTGTTCATAGCTTCTTAGATATCACATATGATTTTCTAGACTGATTAATTTCTAAAATTGACTGAAATCCTGCATATGCTAGAACACTTACAGTGTTGGGTAAGGCCTACCAAAACGTATTTTAATTCATATAACCTGTTTAACCAAATTAAAGTGAGAATCTTCAGCAGACAAATCTGGTGTAAGATCAAAGGTAAAGAGTGTATATCCTCCCGAGTAATTGTTATGTTACGACAGCGGAAATCACGTGACGCTGGTAACACGTAATGAATATCTCGAACGTTCCTGGAGGCTCGAGTGTTTGCTAGACATGCGCTCTTATAGTATATAAGCCAGCAAATAAAGTGATGGGGAGAATAATTGCAGACAAAGAGATATAGAGACAGATAATCGAGTCAAGCCATAAGTAAAGTGCGTGAATCGTTGTGAATTCTAGCATTGTGTTAAAGTTACTGTGGAAATTAAGTGTATTGCAAAGTTGTATTGAGAAAGAATAAACCAGTTTATTTAAGAAAGGACTTGTATCGCTGAAGTTTTTAGGTATGAATTTTTACGGGAAATTAACCAACGAACACAGAGGCATAACAGTTATATCCTATATCAATTCCTTGATCTTGAAATTGTTTTCCAGTTCCACTAAATAATGTTTCATAGCTTCATGCATACAGTTCAGCATCAAAATCTGTCGAGAAGGAATCTGTTTTCCATCCACGATGACTGCCAGGAAATTGATACTGTAATGTTTGGAATTGTATGGGTTTTTCTTCCAAGAGTCAAATGCATTTTTATCAACACATCCTGTAACAAGATGTGTTGGTACTTGACATAAAAAAGCTTTATCAGTAGATGATTGTAAGTTTCCATGGGTAATTGAAAACGATTTGCACAGTATGTTTCAAAGGATATTTAGCTGCTCTTTTCTGAAATACTTTAGCATGCGACAGAACAACTGATGGGCCGATCTTGACGTACAATTTTGAAACCCGATTCATCATTTGACATAATACAAAACGAATCTTTGCTTCGTACGAGT